TAATAGTCCACTGCTGGACATAGGCCTCTTCCCTGAAAGGAGGTTTTGGCCTACTATACCACGCTTGCCAGACGGGTTGGTATAGGGTTTGTTTCAAGTTTTCCTTCTCTTTGCAGTGCTGTTGTCCTGCGTAGTTTTCTCTCTTAGTCGACTTTTACGACACCCACGGGATAAATAAGGGTGGTGATATTACGTATTCTTAATCCGTCACCACACGAATAGCCTCTGCCCCGTGCTTGACAAAAATGTTACACAAAAATATTGTAAAAATTGCATATTGTTATAAGACCACCGATTTTTATTCTATTATTCCATGAAAATAATGACAACGGCTTCAAACCTCGGTCTCAAAGTTCTTACATTTCTCCATTACAAAAAGTGTCTTCGAAATTGTTATTTGGACCAGGGGAATAAGTCTCCTGAAACCGTGGCTTAAAAAGAACGCGTGGAAGCTCCCTAAACAAGGTCAGTGTTTTTGCTGTTTGTTCACATCGGATCCGTTACTCCTCATACTTTATATTGTCACAAAATTTAAATTCTAGTGAAAAATCACAAATCTAACAATTTAATGGACTGGTAGTAGACATGTTTTCATTTAATGAGAAACCGCCATAGCTACTTCTATATTGTCACATAACATATATTTACGACTAAAACTTTAAACAATAGGGGACGTGCAAACACTCCTAGTTATACTTGCGAAACTTTAATCCCAGTGTGTATTAAATAATATGATGGTAATATATGGTGACTTGTATTATGTGGTATAAACATTTATTACATAAACTACAATATATTTGTGTATAGACAATGAGTGTATATACCATATCCGTGTAGTGACGACTTAAGAATACGGAGTGTTCCTTACCCTATTCATCCCGTGAATGTCGTAAGAGTCGACTAAGGGAGCACACTACGCAGGACAACACCACTGCAAAGAACAGGAAAAACTTGACACAAACCCTTTTTTTTTTTTTTTTTTAACGTGTGGAAATCCCCTCGGACCGTCACCCCTCCGGGGTTTGCGGCGGGGTGGTGTGTCGGACTCGGACCGACTAAAACCACACGGTGTGCCACTCTGCGCCTGTAACAGGAGGGATCCGGGAACAGCTGTTGTTAAGACATCCGGACCCCTCCTAGCGCCAGCCCGCTCCTGGTGCGGGCTCCGTCTCAATGGTGTTCCTCTCTTTAGGCGACGTCCGGCACACGCGGACGCCGCCCCCTCGCGGCTGGCCAAACTAATGCGGGTGGAGGGGAAACCCACCCCGTCCACCCGCGGCCACACTCAGGGCGGCATGAGGCTGTGGTAGGCGGGCCTCCGCCGCCCGGTTCGCCGGCGGCGGATCGGGTCCGAGTGGAGGTCGTCCTCCCGGGCCCTCTCCGCCGCCTCCTTCCGCGAGATTACTACCTCGCAGAAGGTTGCGACCGCGGTAAAACAACTGTCGCTACCGGCCATGGAGCGTACTACGGCCGGTAGCGAGAGATCCACTCCGATGACTGCAGTGAGGGCCCGGCGCTGCGCCGCCCATGCTGGGCAGACCGCCAGCGTGTGCTGGGCCGAGTCCTCACTGCAGTCGCAGTGGTGGCAGGCGGGACTCAGTTCCCTCCTAGCGACCGTGTGCAGGTACTTTCCGAAGCAACCGTGCCCGGAAAGCACCTGCGTCAGCCGGAAGGAAAGGGTCCCGTGCTGCCGCCCTGCCCACTCGGCGATGACCGGCTGGAGAGCCTCCACGGCGGCGAAGCCAGCGCGTGGAGTCTCCAGCCGGAACGACCAACGAGCCATCGTGGCTCGGCGAGCGGCTTCGCGCCACTCGCGCACATCCTCGGGCGGAGGGCGAAATCCGCTCTCCGCCCGGAAGTCAGCCACTCGCCGATAAACTTCGGCGAGCACTTCCGCCTCCAAATCCCACGGGGGAGTTCCGGCCAATGCGCATGCCACCTCCGTAGAAACGGTGCGGTAACCGCGTATGGCTCTGACCGCCATTACCCTCTGAGGGCGCCAGAGGCGTACCCTATTCTGGGCGGTCAGAGCCGCCGCCCACACCGGTGCACCGTACAGCGCCATTGACCGGACAACCCCCGTGTACAGCCGTCTTGTCGCGACGCTGGGTCCACCCATATTGGGCAATAGTCGCCCTAGGGCAGACGCAGCGCCGACCAGCTTTGGAGCAAGCTGTCGGAAGTGCTCGTCGAAGAGCCACCTCCCGTCGAGGATCAGGCCCAGATATTTCATCTGGGCCCGAACCGGTACGAGGACCGAGTTGACCACGATTGAGGCGCCAGGGGGTGGACCACGACGGGGCCCATGGAATAACAGGGCCTCCGTCTTATCTAGGGCCACCCGTAAGCCCAGCGCCTCAATGCGCCCGACCACCAGGGAGACTCCCCCTGTGGCCAGGCGCGCCGCCTCTTGGAAGTTTGCCCCCCGGGCTGTCACGAGGGTATCGTCTGCGTAACAGATTACACCCAGCCCGGGGGGGAAATCGGCGCGAAGGGCCCAGTCGTACCCTATGTTCCACAAGAGGGGTCCAAGAACAGACCCCTGTGGAACACCGCACGACATGGGCCGACACCTCAGATTACCTTCTCGGTCCTCGTACACGACGGTACGCTCCTCTAAATAGTCTGCCACTAGCCGCCTCAGGTACTTTGGCACCCCATGATAGTGGAGTGCTTCCCTGATGCAGCTGAATGGCAGACTATTGAATGCGTTGGCGATGTCCAATGACACCGCCAACAGCACGCCGCCACAGCTCACGGCCTCTTCGGTCACGGCCCTCAGGCGCAACATGGCGTCGACTGTCGAACGCCCCGCCCGAAAACCAAATTGGGCGTCCGACAGATCGGGGCCCACCTCGCAGAGGTGCCGGACGATGCGGGCAGAAAGAACCCTCTCAAACAATTTGCCCGCCTCGTCCAGCAGCACGATGGGCCTATAGGCCGCGACCGAATCGGCTGGCCGTCCCGGCTTCCTCAATAGGACCAGCTTCCCGCTTTTCCAGCACTCAGGGAAGCGTCCCGACGCCAAGCTAGCGTCGAACACCTCCCCGAGGCGGTCTGCCATGTGGTTGAGGGCCAGGGCCAGCACTCGGGCCGGTACCCCGTCTGGCCCAGGGGCGGTGTTCTTGGAACGGATCCGTAGAACAGCCGCCCCTACCTCCGATTCCCGGACGGGCGGAACATTGTCCTCCCCGTGCTCCCCGTCGTCTCCGGCCAGGGAGGCCATCGTTGGGGGAGTGTGTTCCGCTCGTTGTGGGAAAAGGCCCTCAACCACTTCTCGCAGGAAGAAACCCTACACCAACCCGTCTGGCCAGCATGGTATAGTAGGCCAAAAGCTCTTTTCTAAGGAGAGGCCTATGTCCGGCAGTGGACTATTTTATATTATTGATGGGAACAGAAAAGAACAAAATATAATATCTTATTTTAAATTTTAATTTTTAAAATTATAATATCTACAGTTCATTAAATTTGATAGTCCCTTAAGTAATTCCATACTCTCTGTCGTGCAGACTGTTCGGTCCCCGTATATATATTATAGCGTATTCCTCTATAGCTACTTATTCCCATAAGTCGACTAACCTTAACTAATAATTATAAATATAATATACATTATAATATAATAATTGTATAAGTCTGAGATTTTATTCTATCACGACGATTTAAGCCTGTGAGTAAAGTATCCGTCTGTAGGGATTACAACTTTGTTATACTGAGTTATTAAATATTTTTTATTAATGGATTTCGAAAAGGTCGAGTCACTGTCGAGTGTTTACATGCAAAAAAACAATTTGGTACTTGATGTATCTCTTTAATTTTGCTTATTATATAAGTTCATTTAATATAATTATTTAATTATATATAAGTATTTTTTTTGTATTCAAAAGTGAATAAACTCTAAAAAAACATTAACATTTAATCAATTTGCATATTCTGGAGATGTACCAGACAGTTAGGATCGAGCTCACCCTCTAATTTTTTTTAGATTTATTGAGATACATAATATTTACAATATATAAAACAAATTATTATTTGTAACCATATTTATTTCTATATTTATCTTTATTATTTCAAGCGAATTACAATATTTTTTAAGACTTCTCTGATCCAGGATTCGACATACCTGTGTTTAATGTTTTGTTAAATCATTGAATAAGACTTGACTGAGTAAGAAACAGCTCTCATTGGTAGATAAAATAAAAAGAAAAAATACTTTTTCTAGAAATTTGGAATAGGGAACATAATAATGAATTTATTGAATTCGAATGCGAACAGTGCAAGTATAAACTAGTAGCTAAATCAGTACAACCATTCTCAAGTGATAGCTTTACCACGGAGCAGCGTTTATATCGATATTGAATCGATTAGTGGCAAAATACGACGCCCTATTTATTGACATTAAAAGTAATAGTACGATCAAGGAACGTGTCATCATGAACATTGGCGTCTCGGTTGTGGACTGGCAGAATTCCAACGGATGAAGTTTACCGCTGCTGTACCACTTGTCTTCATAACACCTACCAAGTACTATCACGTTGTATAGAACACGCAACCAGTAATCAGAGGACGAGTAGGTCTTCCTGAATACAAATTTTATTGAAACATTAATAAAGGAGGCCTATGTCCAGCAGATATCATATTAAAATGATAAAGATAAAAAACAAAAGTTTTTGTTTTCAAAAATTATTTTTGACTCTACCATTTTTGTCAACTTAATGCGATCTGAGATTTTCTTATATTTTTTGATTTACAAGCGAATAATAAAATATACATATATGCGGTTCCTTGTCATAAACAGCAAGCTTCTAACTCAATTAGAAGATTCGTTCTCTAAGTCTTAATATGTAACCCAATTTAACAGCTCGCAAGTAAATTAAAATCTTGAGGGTACTTCCTATACACCAAAAAACAATTTTTCATTTATTTTGTTGTAATATAGAAAAACAGACACATTTGGGCTAAAAATCTTTTATTTACACACAGGTCGTCCAGCGCCAACCGTTATGTGGCTGATAGACAACACTCCAGCCCCTCAGTATATCGGAGAAAAGACCGATACACACGTGGTAGTCAACAAATTGGAGCTACCCCACGTGAAGAGGAATCATCTGAACACGACATTCAAGTGTCGTGCCTCCAATACAAACCTCGTTAGCCCACAAGAGAAGACTGTTAGACTAGAAATGAACTGTAAGTATTGAATATAATGTGTACAACAAATCAAAATGTTATTTCCAAAAGAAATCTACTCCGTTTTGAAATTTATTTAAAACTTATTGCACATGTTGTACAAAGGCGGACTTAATGCCATGAGGCATACTCTCCCAGTTAACCTTCAGGTGATGTAGAAATTTAACATACTTGAAACCCAGAGATATACACAATATATAAACATAATAACATTAAACATAAGACTTTTTGAGGTCTCAGGTTACTTTTTACTGAATTTAATTTTTAAAATCTGTCAAAAGGATAGATTACTACCTACATAATTTTGGATTATGACACACAGACATTGTCGGTCAAAAGTGTTAGTGTATAAATCAGCTTGTCTAGGCTTACTGACCCACGTCTGACCTTTATATGAAAAGAACGTTAACTACATTTTATCTTTAAAAGCAAAACGGGCCGACAGTGCCAACTTTATTTAGTGGAAAATACTTCTATTTTATTTTAAAATAGGGTATGGTATCTCTATTATATAAATATGGATTAGACATGCAAATTGAGTCTTTTAAGAGGTAAAGTAGCTGGTTTGGTTACTCCATTTTTCGACCAAAGTCCACTGATCGTGGTCACGAATCGATTACTTTACACACGTGCATACATATTAAGTCACTATGTAGTTAGTATAGCTTGGTAGTTTTTGTTTCAAATAATTAAAGCTCAATTTGCGCTCATCTCAGCACTAAATTGCTGTCCAACCTTATTTAAATAAAAAGAAAATACTAAAATAAAGACTACATAAACATAAATAATAACGCATTGACCCGATATTAAATCTCTATCTAAAATGCAAATTTAAACGACAGATTACAGTACTTAATATCGCATTATTGCTGTAAACAAGCTGCATGAAAACGAACGAACGAACGTGTGTAAAATATTATCTACGGCTACATGATATATCGTTCGCTTGGAGTCACTTGTAGTCAATTTCAACAGCGACCACAATTTGCAAAGTTATGCATGCCCGCGGTCATCATATTAACCGCTGACCGTTTTATGGCTACTACCGTTACGGAAATCTAATCTATTATTCATTATAAATTCTATTTAACGACGTTATATATTAAGTATATACTATTTACTAAAAAACTAATTTATTAAGCAAGCATAATTTCTGCGTAATATCAAGAAAATTCGACAAGGACTCTCCAATTTAGTGGGATACCTCAGTTGAATTTTTGAGAGCCAAGTATATATTCTAAGAAATTTGGTTAGTAATCTTCTATATCCGATTGCAATTTTTTTTTCGTTCTTGTGTTACACAAATTACTACTAATAGCACTATACATTTTCAAAGTTTTTTCATAATGCCATCAAATTTGTCTGTTAATTGCATCTAATGCAGCTATATATATGATGGGCACACATCATACATCATTATTTGTTGATAAGTTGCCTTTATTAGTCCACTGCTGGACATAGGTCTCTTTTTTGAAAGGAGGTATATACCTAATATACCACGCTGGCCAGACGAACTCGTATTGGGTTTGTTACAAGTTTCTTCCCTTTGCAGTGGTGTAGTCCTACCTAGATTGTACTGTATGCAAACTCTGGTTCTAATCAGGAATCGAGCCTCAAATTAGTTGAAATGCCGTGATACCTCGATTTGAAGTACATTTAAATTGAATTACCGACTTGACGTAATATTACACAACGTTTCTACAAAAAGTTTAAAGTATTTTTCTGCTTTAAAACTACCATAAATTTTCATTCGCTATAATTCTTCGCACTAATGGGGAAACATTTTCACAGTGAAGCCGAATCTGGTGGAGATATTAAACAAGCCGGTAACGCTATCGTCCGAAAGATACGTCACTCTGACTTGCGTATCCGAAGGCTCGAGGCCCCCGGCTCAGCTCACCTGGTACAAGGATAACAGGAAATTTAAGAGAGGAAAGGTTTGTATTTCCTCCTATAATTTATTTTATTAGGTTTTTCTGTAATAATGTTGATTTTATTACCATATCAAAGTTGATTCTATGATTGTTTTTGATCGGAAGTAGGTTCAATTACATTTATTGGTGGTTACCTGGTAATCCTAGATATAGGTAATCGTTAAGAAAGAAAATAATAGGGGTTAAAGTATGAAATTGCCGTTGTATAGTACTAGATACTTTGAATTGCCATAAAGCTTCATGGTGTGAGATTTTCATGTGAAAATTTTTATACATGATACCTACGAGGTTCTTTTTAAAAAAAAATATAACATTCGATTTCTTCTACTTCTACTCACAATTGTTTTTTTTTATTCAGCTTAGACGTGAAAGACGAGCTCCGACGCGGAACGAACGCGTCAGAAACGGCTAGCAATATCAACGCTACGTTACCCTAGCTACAATACTGACTCATTTGCATGAAATCAGTAACATAAAAAATATAAAAAAAACCGGTCAAATGCGAGTCGAACTCGTGGGCCGAGGGTTCCGTACCTACCCAGATTTTAAGTAGATTTTCGCGAAAACTTGTAAGTGCTGTAAGACCTTTCAGTCAAATTTCTTGATTCTAGGTCAACGGGGTCATTTAGGTTTTTGACCCAAAACCTCTAGGGTACTTCCGGTTGACCTAGAATTATCAATTTTGGTTAGAAGTAAGGTCTTACAGCGTAAGTTAAGGGAAAATTCCGAAACATAAAAAATGTTGAAAATTAAAGGTAAATTTTGGTACTTACAAGTTTACAAGACTCAGAACCTTGATTTTACGCCTAATAGGGACCAGTATCTGTTATAAATTTCAACTTGATAGGTCCAGCCGTTCCTAAGAAAATCGGTGGTTACACGCATACACACAGACGGACAAGAACTCTCTTGTCTTATAAGGGTTCCTTTTTTACCTTTTGAGGTACGGAACCCTAAAAATGGGTTGCTCATGATTTGACTGATCTGCAAAAACAAACGCGTGTTGAAACTTGTGTTGTCTTGTTGAATCGGTACATAATTGAAGCAATATTAGATCGCAAGATGTTCACGATAATTGTAAGCAAAAAATGCAAAGGCTGACCCTAGATCGAACGCCGCAACAGTGCCCTAAAGCAAAGCTAACCAATAAAAAGGCAATGGTAACTATTACGTGGTCTCTTCATGGTGTTATTCACTATAGCTTTCAGGCAATAACAGCAGATGTTTACTGTGCCGAACTTCAAACAATAATGATGAAACTGGTAGTGAAACAGCCCCGACTTGTTAATCGATCTACACCATTATTGCTTCATGATAAGCAAAACCTCACACTGCACGAGAAACCGTTGTAATTCTACAGGAGCTGCAGCTAAAAACCATACGTCATCTACTACTCTCCAGACGTTGATCTAACGGACTACCATTTTTTTCGTGATTTGGACAATTTTCTACCGGATAAAAAATTTACTTCCCAGGAGGCAGTACAAAAAGCTTTCACATAGTATTTCGAATCTAGATCGCTACAGTTCTACCGTAAAGGCATAAATGAACTTCCGTTTATATGGCAGAAATGTATAGATAATGAGGGTAAATATTTTGTTTAAATAAATATGTTACATCTTAGAAAAAAACGAGTTTAAATATTTCAGTACAAATCGGCAATTTCATACTTTAACCCCATACACTCATATATAACTTTAAGTAGTTTACTAGTTTTTGATTCGAAAACATAAAGCAAAACGCGAAGTAACTGTTGCGATGTGTAATTACACCATTGTAATACAATAACACATCAAATGAAATGACGATTCTTTAATATATATACATATAGGTATAATTAATTTAATGTATTACATGTACAAATGGATCCCCAGGAGCCTTAATAAAACCACTGACTCTTAACAACTAGTTTTATTTATCACTAGGTTACACTTCACACAATAGGTAAAAGGATGTTAAATGCTTTGTAACATATATAATAAATAAATTTATGTAAATTCTTTTTAATGCGCTGTCATGCAATTACAATGATCATGAATTTAGCATACACCTTGCAAGAGTTACAGAGAAGGAAATAGGCAGATGGAAAAAATACTAGGACGTTAGCAAACCGTAAACTTATTTGCCAAATTCATTTAACCAAACACTGATTGCAAAATATCTCTACTTTAAGAGATTGATTGAACAGTTAATCTTTCAGTTCGCTACAATGTAGTTGTTTATAATCAATAACACACTAGAATATCTGTAGAATTCAGATTCGCCCTCTTTTTGAAGTTATTTAGCTTTTCATATATTTTATTATTTGCCATAGATAAAAGAGACATTCAACGATACTTGGGCGAGCAGTCAGATGCAATTCATGCCTCTCCCCGAGGACGATGGAGTTCAACTGAAATGCCAAGCTGATAACAACGCTCTACCGGGACAGAGTTTAGAAGATTCGTTCAAACTTGATGTAGTCTGTAAGTATATTTCAAAATAACTTTTATTAATTAATGATTCAATAAATTTATTCACATAGATTCATTAATAAACTTTAAACAGAAAAGTCGCTGATCATTTAATTTTATTAAGGGAGTAAATAAAAATAAAGTGAGTTTAAATGAAAGTGATCACCAAGTCAAATGAACGCTGATACAACCAAGTTTATGACTCATTCTTTAAAATATAAGACCTTACAAAAAATTTAATATAATTTTAGTGTGTAACGTCATTTTCACCATTTATATTTTATGTATATATGTTGTGTCAAACAGAAATTGGTACGGTCTTCTGTGTGACAGTTTCCTATGTGACATCGCTAACTTAAATGTAAGTCTAATGAATGACTAAAGCACTTCTATCTATTAGCGCAATCGCAGCTCCCAAACGGATAGCGTAAAAGTGAAAGTTTTTAATGTTAAAAAGTCTTAAAAATGTACTTATCCTAGTTGGTGTAATAGTTTTTATAATATTTTATAACGTTAAACCTGTTGGCTCATAATGTTTTATTATTGAGGCAGGAGCGGTGTAGAACAGTTTGCTTTATATTTACTTATAATGTATACCTAACATATTCAAATAGATGGTAAACGTGAGCTCCACACAACAACTTACATTATAATGCTCGAGTTTCATATCTTTTTGTTACTAAGGGAAAAACAAGTTTTTTTGAATGTCAATTTATTACGAAAGAGCCTGTAGATTTCGTATTAAAAAGTTAAAACACCAAGACCTTCATGTATTATCATTTATTAATTTATTAGGAAAAATAAAAAATCTCATATATCTTAAAATTATTTCGTTTGCAAATGTCATCTAATATAAGCGTACGTTGTTTTCAAAGAATTAAATTACTTGCATCGCAAATTTTACAAAGAGAGTATCGTAACACAAGCAAGATAAAACAAAATGTCTACCATAGAGGCTCATACAGTGAAATGAAAACGAGCCGTAATTGTTTGCACAAATCAACTGCTCCGTCTGAACAAACGCCTACGATGTCAAAATTAGCGTAACTTCTTAATTCGTTAAGACCTCCCCTTAACGAATATTACTGCATATAAGCAATAAAGGAGCTCGGTGTTACCAGTTCGCACATCTCCAACGTCGTTTTATTTAATTATTATTGCTACTTACCTCCTTCAGCAAGTGCGGCGCATGACGCACTGTGATCAAATCCTCAGTCAAAATAATCTCTTTCACATCAATGCTATCATAACGTTAATGTGAAATCCAGGTCTTCAGAAATGAATAGTAACTAATAATAGTAGTTAATAGTAACTGTAGTAGCGCTAATAATTGAGCTTTCTAGTCGTAAATAAACAGTGGTTGTCCCCTTAATGCGATAGTAAAATATACCCACATTATTTTTATTTTATTTTTTATTTATTTATGTTAGGAAAAGTTACAGACTAATATTAACATATATAGGCGCAGTATACATTTTTTACAGTTTTCGTAAATCGGAAACATGTAGACATTCTCACTACAGTGCTTTAAACGCTTGATATGTGATATGATCGACGTGCATATCAAATCATCATCATCATCAACAGCCTATACTAGTCCACTGCTGGACATAGGCCTCTCCTTAGAAAGGAGGTTTTGGCCTACTATACCACGCTGGCCAGACAGGTTGGTATAGGGTTTGTTTCAAGTTTTCCTTCTCTTTGCAGTGCTGTTGTCCTGCTTAGTTTGCTCCCTTAATCGGCTCTTACGACACCCACGGGATGAATTGGGGTGGTGACAATTTGTATTCTTAATCCGTCACCACACGGACTGCACGGATGGCGTAGTGGTTTAAGCGGTCGCCTGCATATCAAATAACAGTTTCGAATATACTACCACACCAAGGTCCCTAATGTGATCTACTTTCTTAATAAATTCATTATTTAATTTATACCCAGACCCGATTGTAGATTTTCGGCGTGGAATGAAAAGTGAATGTTTTAAAAATTTTCATATCGTCAGCGTATAAGAGTATTTGAGACTTGGATCACTGTCTGCCGCCACTGTACCGATTGTTAATATAGGAACAAAACCAACGGTGTAAATCGTCATGTATTCATCAATGATGTTATGATCAATACGGTCAAAACATTTCATGTAATCGGTGTATATCACATCTGCTTGTGCCCCCTGCTCCGTACCCTTAGATATAAAATCGTGAGATAATATTAGATTTTATGTAGTAGCACGTTTCACTACTGAACATATTCTGGATCGCCAAATAAAATTCATTATAAACAATCCGTTCAAGCACTTTTTCAAATAAACATAACTTCTTCTGGGAACGCTACCAGTAGGCGATGATGCGGAGGAATTTTTTGATGCTTGTATGTAAATAGTGTAAATGTTGTAAATATTCTAACTTAATAATTTTTATTCTTAATTTCATTTATATTTTTATTTAATTCAACATAATATTATGTTACCGCTATATTATAAGATGCAATACCTATTTCCATAAGTTCGAGTTATAACAAATACATGAACATAATTTTGATATTGGGCGATAATTTTCGATGATAGATTTATCGCCTTTCTTTAACACGGGAGTTATGAAGGCAGATTTCCAGATCAGTGGAACTATCCTCTTTGTCAAAGATCTACTAAAAATAATAATAAAAGATCGAATGATGAATCGGAACCAGATTTGGAAAAGTTTCAGGGTTTTCAGGAGTTTCAATACCTTATCTGCAGAAACATTAATTGAACTAATATAATTTGTACAGCTATGTATCTCAGTGTTATAATGCATACGATTCGTATTCATATTTTGTTGGTCCTGAAAAGTCGATTTAAAATACGAGTACATAGCGAGGCGTTATTAATTTCTACACCACTTTTTGCAGTTACATCTCTATAGTACAGCGAACTAGGAAGTGATGATGTGCTTTTCTGAGCCTGTACTATGGTAACCAGACTACTGATAAACATACGTATATATTTTAAATACATACATAATATAGATTAGCAATAAAAATAAACTGATTGATTGATTGATTGATTGATTAATTACAAGCTGACACAGAGCAAATGATCGTGCTCATCACACAATTATTTGTCCTGGGTGGGAATCGAACCCACGACCTACGGCTTAGCAGTCCGGGTCACTAACCACTAGATCAATAGGCCCGTCATACTTCTACTTTATTTATTTACTCATTGAAACAAGCTTTTTCTAGCTCAATTGCTCGCCGACGGAGTAAATAAAACGTTAAATTTTGAATTTTATTACCATATAATTTAAACCTACGATGATACTTTGATTTTTCTTTTAAGATTTATACCAACGCGCGTGTGAGATGTCTTACGGATTTAATTGGTATAAGTTTATCTCTAAGAGCATATAATTTACTGTTAAAAATGTTCACCGAATGCTCCAGAGATCCAGTAGTCAACAGGGTATTCCAGTCAGTATCATCTAGTGCAGACAGAACGTCGTAGTCCTCCTTGTAGCACCGATATTTAGGTGTTATGTTTTCTTCAAAACTATGAATTTCCACAAAATCAGTCTCAATATACAAGGGTTTACGGTGTAAATCTATTGGTGCTGAAAAGGCGAGAACCAACAACCTATAATTTACGTTACGTACATTACTTTATTGTGATAGATTGCAGGTAAGAACAGTAACAAGAAAATCAGTTATGTATTGATAAGTATAATTCGATGGCACTAGACTATCACATGTATTTTCTATGCTCCAGCTCACTTGATTACCAAAATTGAAATCACTCAATGTAATCAATTTATCGGAGAAATGATACATCATTAAATGGTCAAGTTTAGAGCTAAAGTTTTGTATTTGAGTATTATAAGAATGACCTGAGTTCTCATGGCAAAAGTAAAGAGCACAAATATATACGTTATACCTATGTCACTGAAGGTCTAGTCTTTTACAAAAAAAATATTATCCATAGATCATAGAATTGTATCCCATCCTAATAGAAAATGTGTGAATAAGTGTAAACACAAAATTTAGATTTAGGTTATATTGTTAATTTACATATTACCAGAAAAAAAAACAATATAAGAACTTGTGTAAAGATTAAAGAGGTATATTAAAAAACGTTCCTTATAGTTACTATGGTAATATTAACGTAAGCGTTGATTATAAAGTAAACATTGAGAGAGAGAATTACGAATCACGAGAACTCCAGCACGCCTTGTACACGAAACGTAATACAATATGTATACGTACACGTTGCTACTCTCTTAATTAAAATACATGTAATTGAAACGTGCGTCACATCCTCTTAGTCACAAACGCTTATACTATAATATCATTCAAATTAAGAATCTTGATGTAACTCCATATGATTAAAATAGTCTATCATGACTAAATTACAATTTAGGCTTTAATAAATGTAGAAAGGTCTAATTAATTATGTTAATCATTACCAAGCAACAGCTATTATGTTGCTTGTTATCAGCAACATAATAGCTGATAACAAGCCTAAGCGAATTTCTACAGATAGAAATCAAGCTTTTCAACTAATAAATCTGCTTATCAGATCCAACGACTAAGCTATCTTATCTGTAGAGATCCAAAAACCGTTTGTTTAAAATTATGAAAATTAAAAAATAAAAGGTAAAAGTTAGAAGAGAGAAATTTATAAACGACGTTTTTAAAAATTCAAAAGATTATAAATATATATATATATATGTATTTTTTTAAAAGACAACTCCCGCATTAGGAATATACCCTGTGTCGCGGGGGACTTTACAAACATGCATGAAACGGACACAAAGAACACCCAGACCAAGAACAACAATTTGTGGATCACACAAAGTGTCGTCCCATGTGGGGATCGAACACACAACACTCAGCGTAGTAGTAAGTGGCGTGGCAACCGATTAAACCACTACACCATCCGTGCAGTCCATATATATCATACAAAGATATTAAGAACAATTAGTGATGTTTATTATATCTCAAAACTCATAATAGGCATGTACCTTCTATTTTTATAGAAT